CAAAGAGACAGAGAACAGACTGCCAGAAGACAGACACAATCACAAAGACAGATACAAAACCAGACAGTCTGTGACAGAGAGAGGGGAAATTCAGAGACAAAAGATCTCTATTTATCAGAAGTGAAACAGAGAGAAAACTTGAGTTTGTAGAAAGAGAAATGTGAAAAGCCCTGAGTCGCAGTCAGATCTCAGTTCCCACTACCAACACGTTACTAGACTCTTAAGCCATGAGTCGGTTCGTTCATAAAACAAAATCACTATCAAAGATGTCAACTTAAATTGTATGGAAGGGATATTCACATGCGAAACCTTTTTCTATAAACATATCACTTGACATGCAAATCTTTTTGTCTATATTTCTATATTTTCCTCCTAAAAACACCACCAAAAAATGAAAAGAGAACAAAACCCCAATGACAAGCTGGTAAAAATAGTCACAGGAAAACCACAGTGAAAAATCCCATTCACTACACATATCACCATTTGACAGGTAGAGAAGGAAAATACAAATAGAAGGACAAAAAACGCCCCTCCCCCCCCCCCCCCGTAAATGACAGACAGAAAAATTGTAGAAAACAGAAAGACACAAAAGCCAGAAAGATATTTTTTTTAAAACCAGCATCAGTGTACTGATCTGTCGGTGAACACATAACCATGAGACAAACTTCGGTGCCGGTGTAGTCGATGATCTAACGTGATGCTTATGGTTTAGTTGAAAATCTACCACTAGACCGGTCTGACTAGTTTAGTTGAAGGTCGATTGGCCAAGACTAAACACGGCAGTGGATCGTGGTCGATTGGCTTGGACTTATGGAAAATAGTCGCAGAGCGGTAGACCTTCAACTAAAGCGACATCCACACTTCAGAAGTCCATGTTCCCAATGACTAGAGCTTCTATGTGGGGACCGGGCCTACAGTCAGTGTGAGGCTAGAACATGTAGGAGATCTCTTGACAGCCAGTGTGAGGCTAGAACATGTAGGAGATCTCCTGACAGCCAATGTGAGGCTAGAACATGTAGGAGATCTCCTGACAGCCAATGTGAGGCTAGAACATGTAGGAGATCTCCTGACAGCCAGTGTGAGGCTAGAACATGTAGGAGATCTCCTGACAGCCAGTGTGAGGCTAGAACATGTAGGAGATCTCCTTACAGCCAGTGTGAGGCTAGAACATGTAGGAGATCTCCTGACAGCCAGTGTGAGGCTAGAACATGTAGGAGATCTCCTGACAGTCAGTGTGAGGCTAGAACATGTAGGAGATCTCCTGACAGCCAATGTGAGGCTAGAACATGTTGGAGATCTCCTGAGAAACAATTCACCACTTTGCTGAAAGGCAAACAATATTGTGTACCTAGAATTGAAACAAGAAAACCAGAAAATTCTGCTATAATATAACTGTGGGAAAGAACAATGAAAATGACATGTAAAAAGATCTGGAAACGTTTTAAAAATACAATATGAAAAAACCAACAAACATAAAAAATACAATATGAAAAAAACAACAAACACCAAAAATACAATATGAAAAAAACCAACAAACAAAAAATACAAATTTTGCAAAAGGTTAGAAGTACAACAGACATATTTCATCTAATATAAAATTCTTATGATAAAAAAATTAACCATTCATATATTGCAGTATAAGAAAAGTACAAATAAACATAGATATTTTGTCAACGTCCGGTGCTATAATGACCATGCTTCTTGTCAATATTCATAGTCACACGACCTTGACATAGCCCTGAACAGAGGCTGAACAAAGCTTACAATTAGTGGCACAAGAAATATATGATGATTAAAATCTAGTTTTCTGAAGAAACAAACATATTCAAACATACGGTACCAATGTGTCTGAAAAACCTTGTTCACCTCCCCACAGATGGACATAAGAACCTGGGAACAGACAAATACAGACAACAGACAACAGACAAATAAAGACAATGGACAATTAAAGACAACAGACAAATAAAGACAACAGACAAATAAAGACAATGGACAATTAAAGACAACAGACAAGTAAAGACAACAGACACGCACAGACAACAGACAAGTAAAGACAACAGACAAGTAAAGACAACAGACAAGTAAAGACAACAGACAAGTAAAGACAACAGACAAGTAAAGACAACAGACAAGTAAAGACAACAGACAAATGAAGGCAACAGACAAGTAAAGACAACAGACAAGTAAAGACAACAGACAAGTAAAGACAACAGACAAGTAAAGACAACAGACAAATGAAGACAACAGACAAATGAAGACAATGGACAATGGAAAAGGCAAGTCAAGGTCAGTCTCGAAGAATGATGTGGTAAACAGGGCACATGGTCCTGATCCACTGTTGTTTCTGAGCCTCATATGCTGTCTATCATCACAGCAGGATAGTGACTTTGGGGAATTTTCAGTAAAACTTTATGACTATTTCAGATGTTCCCTGTATCAAGCAGGTTGCAACAAAAGTCAAATCTTTACAAATTGAAAAAATCTGTTTTTAGTGTCATGGTCCAAGTATAGAAAAGAACCTAAAAAAGACATGTCATCATTTCAAACGTTCACCTTCTGCATGAGATCTAAACAGCTTTCTCCTTCGTACAGACTACACGTATGTTGAAACTCATACAGCTGACAGGTGATCAAACATTCCCATTTCACCACTCACAGGTGATCCAACATTCCCATTTCACCACTCACAGGTGATCCAACATTCCCATTTCACCGCTGACAGGTGATCCAACATTCCCATTTCACCGCTGACAGGTGATCCAACATTCCCATTTCACCACTCACAGGTGATCCAACATTCCCATTTCACAGCTGACAGGTGATCAAACATTCCCATTTCACAGCTGACAGGTGATCAAACATTCCCATTTCACAGCTGACAGGTGATCAAACATTCCCATTTCACAGCTGACAGGTGATCAAACATTCCCATTTCACAGCTGACAGGTGATCAAACATTCCCATTTCACAGCTGACAGGTGATCCAACATTCCCATTTCATCGCGTACCGCTGCAGGAATGAAGGGGACGCTCCAAAGCTGTGATCAAAGCCGACAGGGTAGTAAAAAGCATCTGCAGGTCTTACAAAGGCAAAGTTTGGCTGTGTGGTACACTGTACGAGTTTAACACAACTACAACACCATCAACTTCTTTACGGCTCCATTTGTCTTTCACAATTTTAATAAAAATCTTTATGAAAATGAGAGAAGTAAAACATTTACAACACAACAAAAAGTGTTAAGAAAATTTTAAAGGGAATATATGAAAGGACACCAATACCGACATTCACATTTAATGTCAAACACCACGGCGCGAACTTTCCACAGGAGAGAAAAATCTAATATTTTAAGAAAACAGCGCAAAATAAGATTTCACTTGTTCACTACATCAAAAATTTTGAACAAACTCTTCACAAAATTAAACTTCAATTCTGTCCAAGAAAACAAGGATTGCACACATGACTCTCAAACTACATTAGCTGGTGGCATAAGTGGTCTGCTAGGAATGCACAGATCTTTTCCAACAAAACCAAACTCCACAAAAAACAAAGAACGTCTCTCACATCTCATGGCACTGCTCACATGTCTGTCAGTTGTAGACAAAATGGAATAAATCTTTCAGGAACCAAAAGCTTCAGTGTCTAATAAAGCGATGAAAAGGACTGCCACAGAAACTATTTTGGGAGGATCTTTCGATTTATTACCACGCCCATTACAGACTAGGGTGGCATCTTTTGTCTACTATAGATCTACAGCTGGCAATTTCTCTAATTTTTGTCTTTGTCAAAAGAAAAATGTGTGACACGAAAGTTTTTCTTATTCAGAGAAGCTAGTTCAAATGGAATTATTCGGCATTTTTCCTGCTTCAATGACATACAGCTCATGCTTCATTAAACAAAAAAAAATCTTCATCCTCACTGAATCAGTGAATGTCCTGCACGGTGCCTAGAGACGGCATTCTCCAATGTCACAGTTCCCACCAGGAATAGGAATAAATAAAGTTGTGGTCCGGTCAAACATGACAGCGCCGGGATCTTTGTACTTGAAGGGCAGGAACAGTTCAGTCCACGGCGTTCCTGTCTATGTGGGGCACAGGGTGAGGTGTGTGGAGTCTGTCTGTCTGTCTGTCTGTCTGTGTGTCCAACCGTCTGTCTGTCCTTCAGCTATCTATCTGTCTATCTATCTGTCCGTCCGTCCGTCTATCTTTCTATCTATCTGTCTGTCTATCGGTCTATCTATCTATCTGTCAGTCTGTCTGTCTGTCTGTCTATCTATCTATCCATCTATCTATTTATCTATCTATCGATAGATCTACCTATCTACCTATCTGTCTATCTCTCTATCTATCTACTCGTTCTTCTTGTCTTCGCTGGTCTTGTGATCCCCGCCAGCTGCCTGGACTTCATCTGAGAGAAATTAAAAAACAAAAGCAGAAAATGATGGAGGGGATAGAGAGAGAGAGAGAGAGAGAGAGAGAGAGAGAGAGAGAGAGAGAGAGAGATATGTCAATAAACAGATAGGAATATGACCCCTTTGAACCCGGGAAAGTCTTATCCTAATGTTACCCAAATTCTTTCACACTTCTGGGTTCACGGAGAAAATGCTTCAGTGTGAATAAAAACACTCTGTTTTTAAAGTTTTAGTAAGAGTTTTACGGCACTTGCAACACAATAAGGTCATATAAGTGCCGAAGATTAGAGGTGTTACAAGAGAGTAACAAACACACAAAGAAAAGGAGGAGGGATAAGGACGATAGAAGTTTGATAGGAAAGTAGGAGCAAACCATACCAGAGCTCCCGCCAACCACCCACAAACCCTCTGTAAATCAGAACAGAATAATAATAATAATAAATGACATTTATATAGTGCTCAACCCTGATTCAAGTCCACGTGCTCTGAGCGCTAGCAGAGTGTGATCAAAACGTGTGCAGAGAGGTAGAGATATATTGTCCCATAATCAAAATTGGTATGTTGACAGAAACTGGAGTTTTGATTGATCGTAAATTAGGCAACTCCCATTTAAGATTTGAACCAGGATCATCTTTTAGTATAGTTTTAGTAAGAGTTTGACCACATTTGCAACACAATGAGGTCATATAAGTGCTGAAGATTAAAGGTGTTAAAATAGAGTAGCAAACAGAAAAAAGGAGGAGGAGAGATTAAGGATAATAGACGTTTGATAGGAAAGAAGGAGCAAACCACACTAGACCACCCACCAACCACCCACAGGATCATCTTTGATTGATGAAAAACACTAACTTGAAAAAAAACAACCCATACTATTAATAAAAACATGAGAGAACGTACCATATGAGGGTAGGTCACTTTCGCCTGCAGGCAGAGGAGGGTGTTGTCTGTCGTAGAGTTCTCTGTCCTCGTCATCTTCATCGTCCTCGTCGTCAGGAATGTCGTCGATGGTCTCCATGCAGCACAGGCTGTAGCAGATGACGGAGATGATGATGGTGGGGAGGCCAAACATCAGCAGGAACAGCCAGCGAGACGCCTGCCAGATGCTCTGTGGAAGTCAGTGTAGGAAGAGAGTTTAGGATTCATACATGTCCCAAGTGGCTAGCCGGCTTGCCTCCTAGAGCTGGGCGAAGAATCAACTCCGGAATCGATTCCCACGACTATTGCAAGGAAAGAAAAGTTCCCTTTGACGAAACCCAACGGTTACCAGTTACTTTCATCATTACAATATTCTTTTTTAAAGAATGTATCTTCGAAAAATAAAAGTTGATGCTTCGTAGTGTTCCGAAACCAAGGTGTTGGGATCCAACAGGTAACCACCGGAGGGAATCACATCATTACAAAGTAAGGAATTGGAATCGGAGTCGAGTCCAACTATTCCTAGCTTTCAATAATCGAGAACCTCGCCGCCCAGCACTACAGCCTACCAGTCTAGCCGGCCAGCACTACAGCCTACCAGTCTAGCCGCCCAGCACTACAGCCTACCAGTCTAGCCGCCCAGCAGTACAGCCTACCAGTCCAGCCGCCCAGCACTACAGCCTACCAGTCTAGCCGCCCAGCACTACAGCCTACCAGTCTAGCCGCCCAGCACTACAGCCTACCAGTCTAGCCGCCCAGCACTACAGCCTACCAGTCTAGCCGGCTTGCCTACCAGTCTAGCCGTACTTATTTTAGGCCCTGTTAGAAACCTGTTGAGTACACAGGTCTCGTTGAAAAGGGAGACAATCCACCAATGTACTGTCCAACAGTTCTTGTCCTGACAAAACTAGACGAGACCAAATATTCTCTAGAATCGCTGACGAGACTACATAAGATTTATATTTAGCTTTCAGTTACATAAAGGGGTGTCATAATACGGTCTAGCATACACAGAGCCAACAGATTTTTAGGTCCTAATATATTTTTGTAACACATGTACGTGTATTCTTTGTAACTAAAAGACGTACTCACATGAACAATTCCAACATAACAAACATATTTCCGCATCCTGCTAAGTGTGTACATCATAGGAATTTTCCGTAACCCAATCTGTACGTCGTGTATTATTATCGTATCCATACGACATGGGGAACTCAGTGCCACCACTTTCTAAAGAGTAAATTTGCTCGTTAATCCAATTCGTACGCTTTGATTGCATTCAGTCAAAATGATTTTTTGAGAAATACTGAAAGTTTCAAAGAGATCCTCGTACTACAAGTATTCTACAATGTGAAGAATACAACCCCGGGGGTACAAAATGACCCCATGGCGTACGGATAGGTCTAAACAACACAAGACTTGCAGACTTACCAGGACTGTGGAGATCAAGTCGTAGAAAATCCGCCGGATTCTCATGGAGAAGCCAGTTCCTCCAAAGGCCTGCAACAATGTTCAGAGATGGTCAATGCAAAACTGTTCAAGAGACGCCTGCTTCAATCGTATGAGAGCTTTCTTGTTTCTGTGCGAGACTGAGATTTAAAAAACAACACTCACACACACACACACACACACACACACACACACACACACACACACACAGACAGACAGACAGACAGACAGACAGACAGACAGGCAGGCAGGCAGGCAGGCAGACAGACAGACAGACAGAAAGACAGACAGACAGACAGACAGACAGACAGACAGACAGACAGACAGACAGACAGACAGACAGACAGACAGACAGACAGACTCACCGGTTCCTTTCCCTCGGCCACCCTCATGAGGAAGTCTTGGAGCATGGGTCGCGTGAGGTTGTCCGGTAATGGGGCCAGGTAGTACAACTGTCGCTCACTCTCCAGCACCATCAGGGCGGGCGTGGCCAGGAAGGACATGGCGATACTGTTTACCGTCTCCACTTCCGGCATCCACAGGAACTGAAACTCTCTGAGAGACAGGACAACAGGGGGTTTGTTTGTTTTAGAAGGTTTTACGTGCTCACAACTGTATTAGGTCATATCTACAGGAACCGGAACTCTCTGAGGGGACCACAGGACAGGGGGTGGGGGTTTTACGGTGCTCACAACTGTATTAGGTCATATTTACAGGAACCGGAACTCTCTGAGGGGGCCACAGGACAGGGGGTGGGGGTTTTACGGTGCTCACAACTGTATTAGGTCATATCTACAGGAACCGGAACTCTCTGAGGGGACCACAGGACAGGGGGTGGGGTTTTTACGGTGCTCACAACTGTATTAGGTCATATCTACAGGAACCGGAACTCTCTGAGGGGGGAACAGGACAGGGGGTGGGGGTTTTACGCGCTCACAACTGTATTAGGTCATATCTACAGGAACAGGAACTCTCTGAGGGGGGAACAGGGGTTTTATTTGGTTCAGTAAGGTTTTGTTTGGTTCAGTAAGGTTTTGTTTGTTTCAGTAAGGTTTTGTTTGGTTTAGTAAGGTTTTGTTTGGTTTAGTAAGGTCTTGTTTGTTTCAGTAAGGTTTTACGGCGCTCGCAACTGCATAAGGTCATATGAGCGCCAAGGGGTGGATGTCAACAGAGAAGTCCAAACGGGAAACAGACTTAGTCTGCTCACCTCTTTGGCCTCAACAGCACAAAGTCTGTTTCCACTATTGTAGAGATATGGGACATAATCCATGATCCTCCACAGTTGCTTGTCCATTATATCATCAGTTCTTTCCCTTACTTTGTAACCACTCCATGAGCAGTTCTCGCATTGTCTCGAGATATCAGGGCTTCTGGTTTGTTTAGAAAGAGTTTAACGGCACTTGCAAACACACTAAGGTCATATAAGTACCGAAGATTAGAGGTGTTACACGAGAGGAACAAATACAAAAAAGAAGGAAGAGAGAGATAAGGACAATAGATGTTGAATAGGAAAGAAGGAGCAGACCACTCCAGACCACCAACCAAACATGGGGTATTGGATAGGTAAAGCTGTATCTGTCTCTCCAGTTGTTTTGGTCATGTGACTGATCAAGTGAACCCTGCAACACTCACGACTATCAAGACACCCCGGAAATACCAGGTCACAAGAGAGTGACAAACATACAAAAGAAGTAGAGGAAATGACGATAGTAAGGATGAGGAAAGAAAAAGCAGCAGTTCCCCCTATGTTGTTCCGGCACAGTATGAGCATGACATTGATAAATCAGCCCATTTACAATTCTACTGTGCATAATAACATGATAAAATCCCCCCTTTGGGAATGGCCTTAAGACACTTCAGTCAGTAGCACTGCCTTGGGGGAGGGGGGGGGAGTTTTTCAACAAACTAAACAAGAGCACAAAGAAAGAGAGAAACGGGAGG